GTGTGTTTTGATTAGTTTCAAAAGAGATACCCAGTTCGGTTTGCCTTAAACTCTGAATGAAGCTGAAAATCTGTGGATCTGTGATTATGTAAGGAGTGGTGGGAGTCAAGTGGCTTAGAACTCTACAAATGGTTTCCAAAGAAGCTTCATCGAGAACATCTTATTTAATAAAATGGTGAGGCAGGATCACTGACAATGAGATCCTGGAGGACAGTCAGCCTACTCACTTTGAAACAATGCATATGAAGCATCACTCTTCTAGGTAGGCTATACGGGGAAAAGGATGATAACAGAATACCTAAACAACTGCCTGCTGATAGGCTCAACGGCAGGAGAGATGCTTTATTAAGTGCCTGCTACAGCACAGTTACAGACAAGTCAGAACCACCGTGCACACAGAGAACATTGGAAGGAAGCTGGCTTGTCCAGGAAGGGTCAGAAAGACAGGAAGACAAAACTCACATCTCAAAATGAGTTCTGCCAGTCTAAGTAAGTCAATTTTGTCATGTATGTGGAATTTGAGATCACTGACTTCCTGGTCAACTCAATGGGGACCTTAACTTAAATTTTCAAAAAGTACTATTTTCTTTTTGTTTTCACGTAATTCTAGTATACATTCTTTGAGAGAGAATCATTTGTTAGAACTTTAGAACCCTAAAGTGGGATATACGCTGTTTCTCTGTGCAAGATGCCATATGAAAAACATAGTTTGGATATAGAGAATATTGGATTATTAGGAATATGTTCATAGTGTTTGATATACTAACATCCTGAAAATCTGTATGTATTGTGCATTGTTATGCCTGTATCAAGCTGCTTAATAAATGTTTATGGATGATGTTATATTGATTGCTTTTATAATACATCATATAAGTGGATAATAAACTTTATCTACAGTGTTATTTCTGAATAAACAACGGCCTACTAAAAATAGACAAGCAATGTGAGATGTAAAATGTAAGATAAAAGTAATTTATTAACTTCTAATTCTTGATATTTTTATCAATTAAAATTTTATTTGTCAATAAACTTAAATAATCTGAGCTCATCACTGCTCAAAGATATTCTCAAATATCTTGGGAATAATTTGACTTTAGTTGAAAATAAAATGACAAGTTCATAGTTCTTCAGCTATTTGTAGCTACTTCTCAGAGGCATTTTGGTTAATCAAAATTTCAGTTAATCTCCTTTTAGAGAGATTTTGTAATGGTAAAGGAAGCTTCTATAAAAATCTATAAAACATGAATCATTATACCAATAACATTATTGCAAGAATAAACAGCTCATTTAATAATTTGAGCATCTATCATATACTAAAGACTGTATAAGTGCAGGAATAATATAAAACTATCAAGAGAATATACAGTCTCAACATTTATTAGGGGAGAAAAATCTGGGGAGATAAATAATTTATGATATAACATAGAATGGGATATATGTGCTAAGAAGTACAATATCATACTAAATGGACAAAATGTAACCAAATATAGTAGTTTTTTTTGAAGCAATGCAATTAGGAATTTGGTAGTCATTGTTGGTTGAACAATCTTTTCCGAAGCAATGCACAAAATTTTATGGAGAAATACAGATAAAATGTGAGCTTGTTTCATCCTTGGAAGATGACCTTAATTTATAAGGCCCATTTCAGTAAAATAGTCTTGATCCTCTAGAGTTTTGTTTGTTTGTTTGTTTTTTAATAGTGAACAGATGATCTGGTTAGAAAACAAAATTTACTAAATATTACTTAGTCTATAAGAGTTTTGTTTGTTTGTTTGTTTTTTAATAGTGAACAGATGATCTGGTTAGAAAACAAAATTTACTAAATATTACTTAGTCCAGACATTACTAAATTGTCAGATTAGTAACTTGACCCTTGTCCCCAAAACAGGTAATTTAATGGGGGGAAAAAAATGAAAAAAAATACAGTATAACACAGGGAATAGTAAATATGTGAACTACAGTAGCTCAAGACTAGATATTAATTGAAATTATTAAAAGGGACTTAATCCAGTTGACTGGAACAGCGTACTATAGAGACCTGGCAACAGAATGGAATTTAGTTGAGGGAGCATTGCTTATCATTATCTCGCATTTCTGTGTATCTCAAACTGCTACTTTGTGAAAGAAAGTACCACCTAGTATTAATACACTTGCCCTTTTATCCCAAGGATACAGGGAGATTCAGCACTAAAAACCAAACTGGGGACATTTTCTTTTTGTTATTTTCAAAGAATGATGACAATTCTACCTCTTCCTAAAAGCTACTCAGCTGCAGATAAAGACCATTTCAGACCTCAGGAATAATAATTGCTATTTCTAATCTTTTGACAGCCTTGCCTGTGGCTGAAATGACTGGCAGAACTCACTTTCTGGTTACAAGGTAGGAGGTTATCATACCTGTCTACACTCAAGCTGTGCTCCATGACAACCCAAGATCTTGAAGCAATCTAGAGAACACATTCAATGAAACAGATGTTTTGCTATGTGATAAAAACATGCAGAAGCTTCAAAATATCTTCAAATTAAGATAGTTTTTCAAAGTGTGACCCCCCTGTTTCTACCATCTCAGAATTATTTGGAGTTCTTGCTAAAAATACTGATTTCTAGGTTCCATGTCATTCTACCAAAATCAGGTACTCTAAAGGTGGGGAGATCTGAAATTTATTTGCTTCATCATTACAAGTATAAGTTTGAGGATCACTTACCTAAGTCTCATGGAAAACTCAAAAACACAAAAAGAGATTGAAAAATTCAAATACTGTGCTAATTAAAGAATTGTTAATTATATGCCAATAGCAAGGGGTTAACATTTCTTGAGTACCTACTATATTTACAACATTTTTCATATAGAAATGACCCTGTAACTACATAGCAAACAAACCAGAGTGAGAAGAACATCACAGGAGACTTTATTCTTATGAAGGAGAAACACTATTAGACTAAAAGAGTGCTAATAAAGGGTTCTACACATAAACATGCTCTATTACAATATCAAAAGCATAGAGCCTGTGAAAAGAAAGGGAAATCTAGCAATAATTTACTACTATGCACAAGCTGCCTTTTGAGACAGACAGTTCTTGCTTGCCAGGCCCCATCTCTGTCTCTCAATTGCTTACATTTTATATCTATTCTAGAGCCATCCACACCTAGAGGTGGCAAATGCCTGTCGCCTGCTGGGATACTTGGTTGATTCATACGAACACACATAGCATGTATTGTGAAACTTAGTGTTTATAAACTGCTTTTGAAAAATATGAATTGCAAACTATCTCAAACTTTTCAAGAATAAATTTCCCTCATGATATTCCAAGAAGCAGGAAATGGGAAAAAAGTGAATAGCTCATCACATGCCAGCAAAGCTGCACAAGGTAAATGCTTCCCAAACAATGGAAAGTTAATGAGGACTTATGCACATCAGCTCATTCTCAATTGAAAAATCTAAAAATGGGGTTACTGGTACACTCAGATGACTAGTTATAAGGATCAAAAAGTGCATTCAGCCTGAAGTTTGAAATAGAAACTGCATACATAGATATTTGTTCTTCAGTAAAGAGTGAAGAGAAAAAGAAAAATAGTAACAGCATAAACCATGTGAAAGATTTTATAACAAAAAAAGTTAGGGATCAAGGGGGAAAAAAGAAAGAAACAAAACATTTAAGGGCTACAAAAATAAAAAAAAATGATCTGTTGGTGATAATGTGTATGGTAATATCTCTGAACCAATACGCAATATATTCATGATTAAGAACATTAATTTGGTATGCCGTAATGATACACAGTGACTGAATGTACATTTTTCTAAAAAATAACGGAAGTTATTGATATATAGGATAAGCATACTAGAGAAAAGTTTCTACCACAAGAAACAAAAAACAATTTTAGATTGCATGCTTTTTGTTCACAGTCAGATATAGGAAACAATACAGTCTAAAACATGAAATACAAAAGCTAGATTAAAATGGAGTTGTGAGACACAAAAAATAACACAGAAAGGTCAAAGACACAAAAGAAGAATTAAAGGTATATATTAGTTTACTAAGTGGAAATTTCCTTATTAAAGAAAATAAAATCAATGAATAAAAATGTAGTGAATCTTTTTTTTTTTTTTTCTTTTTCTTTTTTTTGGAGAGGTTTTTGCTATAGGGCGCGTGCGCTCGCCAGACAGACAGAGAGAGACAGAGAGACAGAAAGCGAGAAATCACCCCCCGGGGGGATGGCCACGCCACAATCCCTTCTCCTCCATTCTCCTCCCGGGATCTTGGGCACGCACGCACACGCGCCCAGCGTGAGTTTAAGCCACCGGGTCCAGGACTCGAACCGCGGTCGACTATGTGGGAGTTCAGCAACATAGCCATTATGCTAACTGCTGGTCCCAAAAAATGTAGTGAATCTTTAAGAATATGGGCAGGTTTCCTTATGGTCGGAACTGCCATCTTCCGAGAATTAATGTGCATATTGAGCATATTAAGCATTCTAAGAGCAGATATAGCTTCCTAAAACATGTGAAGGGAAATGACCAGAAAAAGAAGGAAGACAAAGAGAAAGGTACCTGGGTTCAACTAAAGCGCCAGCCTGCTCCACCCGGAGAAGCACACTTTGCTAGAACCAATGGAAAAGAGCCTGAGCTACTGGAACCTATTCCCTATGAATCCCTGGCATGATGTGTATTAAAAATAAACTAATCTGTGACCTATACAAATGTTTGCCTTAATTGAGTAGAATTATGTTCCCTCTCCAAAGCTAATTTTTATTGGGCTCTAATTCATTTCATAATATCTTTATTCAAATTTAGTATTTTTTCACCTGAAAGATGTTAGGTGGTTTATACAACAAATAATATTCAGTTGGCTAGAAAAAAAATAAAAGAATATGGGCAGGAGCCTCAGAAATGCATTTATTCTGGGATATATATATATACACTTCTCTCAATCTTCAAGAAATCCGTTATACCAAACATAAGTAAGGAAATAGATTAGTGCAAGAGATGTAAGGTCTTTTACTTTGTAGAGTTATCCTGAAATATCCTAGTTTAGGGATCAGCAAACTATAATCAAACTGGCTTGCTGCCTATTTTTATAAATAAAGTTTTATTAGAACACAGTCTAATTCACTTATTTACAGATTGTCTATAAACTACCAGAATGTTACAGTGGCAGAGTGAATAATTGCAACACAGACCACATGAACTACTCAGCCTAAAGTACTTACTATCTGATTCTGTAGAGAAAATGTTTGCCAAACTCTACCCTAAACCACTGGACATATAAAAACATTATGGAACAGCAGATCCCTGAGTTATCATGGCTTCAATTTGGCATTCTCTATACCTGTCTTACAAAGACATCTAAGGTATTTTCTATCTCTTCCTCATCTGGTCTAATCAGCACATCACCAATACTATGGATAAGGGGATGGTAAATGGTGAAAAAGATGTCTTTGAAATGGATTGCCACAGAGTGAGCATTGCTTGGAGTTAAAGCAATGAAGATAAACTTCTCCTTCTGCCAGTTAAAAGCAAATTGCTTCAAGTGAGATTTCTCCAACTGATAAAGACAGAAATGCATTTTCAGAAGAAGAGAGCACCTTCAGTTGGAGACACTTTTTAAGTTAAGCTTATAATTTACTGCCATTCTTTAAGATCTCTTTGTTTCCTACACAGGACAAATGGGCATATTTGATGAACAAGTTTAAGGAGTCACCACTATCCACAAGGTTTGGGATAAAAATGCTTTCAGAGAGATAAATAGTTTATACTGTAAGAAGATGGGTTACCTCAGGGAATAATATTAGCAAGATGATAGAATCAGAAGACCTGGATTCTCCTCCTTCTAATGAACACACTGGCTCAACAACAATACACAGAACAACTCCCCTCTTAGTGAGACAACCAGAAACCAATGAAGACACCCCTGCACCCTTGCAAGCACCGAGACGACAGGAAATGTTATAGAACTTATTCCCCGTAGCCCCTCTCCTAAAACACTGTGGTGATCAGGAAGTCTAGCTCCTGTCTCATTTTGGGAGAGGAATAAACAAAATTGAATCATTTATCCAACATTCTGACATATTTATTTATTTATTTTTGGAGAGGTTTTGCTATAGGGTGTGTGTTTCTCAGAAAGACAGAGAGAGACAGAGACAGAAGGCAAGAAATCACCCCCACCAGGGGGGAATAGCCACGCCGCAATCCCTTCTCCTCTATTCTCCTCTTGGGATCTTGGGCATGCACGCACACAAGCCCAGCGTGAGTTTAAGCAACTGGGTCCTGGACTCCAACCACGGTCAGCTACATGGGAGTTTGGCAATATAGCCATTTACGCTAACTGCTGGTCCCTATTCTGACACTTATTGTGGGAGTGGCCCTTGACTGAGAGACTAGTTTCTGTCTGGACAAAAAGTCTACACAGAGATAGAAAAGGGTATTGGGTAGGGTGCCACTGAAAAAAGGCAATGTTTTGAACACAGACTGACTTAGTATGGTCTCTTCCTCCGGCCCTGCACAGAACACATCATGATCTCCCCCTAGCCTCCCCAGCCAGCCAAAATCATGGACATGTGTGCTCAACCCAGAATGTACATGTTGAACCAGGAACTGAATCCCAATCTTCCGTGTGGCCTCCAGCATTGCAGAGTGACATATTACCACTGTACTATGGAAGCTGGGTCTCTCCAAAATAATTGAAACCAAGATCTCCAATGAGTGAATAAGGAAGATGTGATATAGACATACCATGGAAGATTATTTAAGATTAAAAAAGAAAGAAATTCTATTATGTGTTGTAACATAAATGAACTGTAGAAACATTAAGCTAAGTGAAATAAGCCAGTTACACAGGACAAGTACTGTAGGATTCCAATTAGATATATAAGGAAGTCAGATTTACGGAAGTAGAATAGGTACAGAGTTTTCATGCTGCAGGATGCAAAAGTTGTCGAGATTAGCTGCACAATAATGTACATACAGTTAGTACTATATTGTGCATTTAAAAACTTGTTAAGAAGGTAGATTTTATGTTATGGTTTTTGACCACCACCATAAGAAACATTATACCATAGTTGACCATTTCTGCTGAAACTGTCAGCTGTCAGCGGTTCCCTCAGGGAAGTAAGCAGCACAGTGTAAGAAAAACGACTGCAATAAAGGGTAATTTCACTTGTTACTCTACATGCAATGTTATGATTTCTTGACATTTTAAAAATGAGCAAGTATTCATGTATTACTTTTGGAATACTGAAATAAAAGGACATTAAAAAAATAAGATGAGTTACTTTCAGGGTATTTTACCGGACTTTTTCTAGCATAGTAACCTCTACTACTTGGGTCAGTTAAAACAATGTGGAGATTCTAGCATTGGTAAATATGTTTTGAATGCATCCGGGAATTAAAGTGGCTAGAACCAGATTTTGCAGACTCACTGGATCAGTTGTGCAATGGAGTTAACACTAAAACTTTGCTTGTCTCCTGACTTCCATAAATACCCTCTCTGACTGGTAGGCCAGAGAGATGTTTCAGTTTTTTCAAGGATTATTTTAGTTTAAAATCAACATCTTCCAGAATAGCGAGTACTTTCACTTTCTTGGGTGCAGTCAATATGGTAATAATTGCAGGCCCCTTAGCAGAAAGATAGAAGGAAAATTCCTAGATATGCTTGTGGCAACAAAATTTGGCTTCTCTTTTGTGCATATGATTTCAGGTCTACAAGTTGGCTCAGGCATTGTTTTTTTTTTTTTTTTTTTCTTTTTTTTGGAGAGGATTTTTTGCTATAGGGCACGTGAACTCGCCAGACAGACAGAAAGAAACAGAGAGACAGAAAGCGAGAAATCACCCCCCAGGGAGGATGGCCATCCCTTCTCCTCCATTCTCCTCTCGGAATCTTGGGCATGCACGCACATGTGCCCCTTGTGAGTTTAAGCCACCGGGTCCAGGACTGGAACTGCAGTCAACCATGTGGGAGTCCAGCGACATTGCCATTACGCTAACTGTTGGTCCCTCAGGCATTGGTTTTGAATGAGAGAATGTGATTCTCTGTGGTGAAAGGAAATTACTCTTTTCACAAGATTTTGAACTTTTTGCTTACACAGATCATGGAGAATTACATTTGTTAATTTTCGGATGTGAAATTAATTATAATTCCTGGAATACACTTGACCATAAATTCTTAACACTTTTCATATATTGCTAATATGTTCAAAGTTATCTTCATATTTGTTCATAAGGAAAGCGGGCATGACTTTTGAAATTTTTGTTTGTTTTTATTTTTATTTATTTATTTATTTATTTTTCAGAGACATTCAGAAACAACTGTATTATTTTCCAAAGATTTAGGAACTGTTAAAAATGATGAGCCTTGTGTTAGACATGGAATAAATACTGCTGTCTTAGGAGGTAAAAAATTAGCAAATGCATGGTAGGTTACTCAATAAATTGTTCAAACATAAAAGTTATTAAAATGCAAAACAATTTATAGCCAGAAAATACAAATATTAGTCTAAAAAAGAAAGTTGTGAGAAGTCTTTTTAAAATTTTACTTTAAGGTGATTAAATGAAAGTATAACTCAGAGTTAGGATTAGGCTTCTATTTTACGACTATTCTGAACACATGATTCCCCAACTTGTACAAAATAATTTCTCTTTTCAAAAATATGCATTTTAGAAAAGATCATAGTAAGACAAAGAATGTGAAAATAATGGCGTAGTGAAAAAACAAAAATTAAAACTAGAAAGCTAAACTTTCCCAATAATTTATGATTATATTGGTATAATGACTATAAATTTATATTAGGTATTAAAAATGTGACACGAACCTGAATTTACGTAATGAAGTACTAATAGATGTTTATATTATAAAATATCTGGTTTATAAAAAGATTCAGCAGAGTATCTAAATGATCAGTTTCCTCAGTCTATTTGACAAAGATTGTAAATATACTATATAAAATTTAATATCTCTTTGAGACAGTGATCTTAATGATGTTACCAGTTCAAACTTTGTTTCAATAACTTGTCCCTCCACAGAAAATAGATGCAGTCTCGGGAACCAGCAGTTAGCGTAATGGCTATGTCGCTGGACTCCCATGTAGTTGACTGTGGTTCGCATCCCGGACCCAGTGGCTTAAAACTCACACCGGGCGTGTGTGTGTGCGTGCATGCCCAAGATCCCGAGAGGAGAATGGAGGAGAAGGGACTGTGGCGTGACCATCCCCCCTGGGTGGTGATTTCTCGCTTTCTGTCTCTATGTCTCTCTCTGTCTGTCTGGCGAGTGCACGCGCCCTATAGCAAAAAAACCTCTCAGAAAAAAAAAAAAAAGAAAATAGATGCAGTCTCTTCACCAAAACACTCAAAAGTACCGTGGTCACTATGTATGCAAACCTCAACTCTGGACATTCCTGTTTGCCTGAGAATCCAAGCAAGGAGAAAGTTTTCATTACTGATTCATCATCAAACCGGTCTGGATCACACTTGTGTGGTGATGGCCAAGTACTAGGATCCTGAAGTACCATACGCAGGGCATAAAGGACAAGGGTCTCTCTAGGAATAATAAATTGATCAATTTTTCCTTCTATATCTTGAAGGCGAGCAGAAACGGGTCAGTTTGGCAGTCCAAACAGTTTCACAAAGTACTTGTCTACAGTATCTGAGCTGCTCAATTTTCTCTGGAGTAACAGGCTTCTTCCCAAAAAACATGGTCTTTTTTTTTTTTTCTTTGAGAGGTTTTTGCTATAGGGTGCATGCGCTTGCTAGAAAGACAGAGAGAGACAGAGAGATAGAAAGCGAGAAATCACCCCCTGGGGGGATGGCCATGCAGCAATCCCTTCTCCTCCATTCTCCTCTCAGGATCTTGGGCACACATGCACATGCACATGCACCAGAGTGAGTTTAAGCCACTGAGTCTGGGACTCGAACTGTAGTTGGAAACATGAGAATTCAGCGACATAGCCATTATGCTAACTGCTGGTCCCAAAAAACATGGTCTATCTCTTCATATAGCTTTTTTTGAACTTCTTCAGAAGTGGTTAGAAAACAGATTGCCCAAGCACACAATTTTGCAGTTATTATACAGCTAGTCAGAGAAAATATACTGTCTTCAAGTATCTATTGGTCATTAAGGTCCCCCTGTACTAAGGTGTCAATGAAAATATGTTGACTGAAAGTCCTTCCTTTTCGTTCTTTGATGATTTTCTTTAAAATAGATTCCAGCTGCACAAAGGCATCTTCATATTGTTTTCTCTGAGTTGTACTTTTATCAAGGGAACCATCTAGAAAGCCTTTTCCAATCTCAGAACAAACTGTGACATGATTCTTCCGAAAGCAAATGACTTGCTGGTCATCCTCAAACGTACTACCCATTACCATTTGAGTAACAGACTTCATAGCAAAACCAAGGATATGCTGGGTCAGGGGAACATGCTGGGTCTCCGGGTAGGAAAGCCATTTATCTAACAATTCTTCTGAAAGCTTTAGCAGAAGAACAAAATTGTTCTGCAGAATATTGGTTACAACATTTTCATATAATTTTTTCCTCATGTGGTTCTCACTCACACTCCCACCATGAGATTCATACCTTAATAATGACTTTAGCATGGTTTCAAAAGGGTCCGATGTCTGTTGGGATTGATATGCTGCTTCAGGACATCAACAGTGCCCAAACTAACCACGGGTGCCTGCCAAATCAGAAAGAGGCCACAGGCCCATAACTCTCATGCAAATTAGCCAGGAACTCATGCAAACTTCCACTATTCACAATATCTGGAAGATTACCATCTTTTTCTTGAGTTGGAGTAATCCCTGGAATGTCTGGAAGTCTCAGAGCCACCATAGGAGAGAAGCTTGTATGCTGGGCCCGGAGGGCCCATCCTCCACAGCTTCATGCCTGCCTGGTCACTGTGCCGCTCACACCACCTCCCTTTGTTTATACTTAAAATTTGTAATAAGGTGGGAACCAGCAGTTAGCGTAATGACTGTGTCACTGCACTCCCACGTGGTCGACCGTGGTTCACGTCCTGGACCCTGTGGCTTAAAACTCATGCCGGGCACGTGTGCGTGTGTACCCAAGATCCTGAGAGGAGAATGGTGGAGAAGGGATTGTGGCGTGACCATCCCCCCTGGGGGGGTGATTTCTTGCTTTCTGTCTCTCTGTCTCTCTCTGTCTGTCTGGCGAAAGCACACGCTCTATAGCGAAAAAAAAAAAAACCTCTCCAAAAAATTTGTAATAAGGTGTGTGAAGTGACCAGAGAGAGGCAGAGAGAGCGAGAGAGAGAGAGAGAGAGAGGGAGAGAGGAGAAAATGAGAAAGCACCCCTCAGTGTGGATGGCCATGCCACAGTCTCTTCTCCATTCTCCTCTAAATATTTTTGGACGCACACACATATGTGCCCAGTATGGTTTTTTAAGCCACCAGGTCTAGGACTCAAACCATGCAGTTCGCCATGTGAGATCTAGCTACCTCAACCATCACACAGCTGGCTGGCCTGGAATGCCACTTCTATTCACAAAGTTATTTTAGCATGTTTGGTACCCAGGTAATATTGGTTTCATTATGTGAGTTGAGTAGTATTCTCTCTTTTTATTCTCTAGAAGAGATTGAGTAGATTTTGAATTTCTTTTTCTTTTTTCAAATTTTTACCAGAGTGTTTGTGTGCTCATGAGACAGAGAGAGAGAGAGAGAGAGAGAGAGAAATAGAGAGAAAGTGAAAAAGCAACTCCTTCATGGGGATGGTCATGGTGCAATTCCTTCTCCTCTATCTCTTCCTCCTTTCAGGATTCTGGGTACACACATGTACCCAGTGTGTTTGTCAAGTCACTGGGTCCAGGACTCAAACAGCATAGCTAATTATGTGGGATCCAGCCTTCCTAACCACCATGCTATTGGTTTATATATATATATATATATATATATATATATCCATACATATTTGACAGAATTCTGGGGAATTCACCAAGACTAGACTCTGTGAAAATAGTTTTGATTAATTAATTTTCTCCATTTTTCTCCCAAGGTTATAGGTCTATGAATTTTCTGATTTCTTAAATCAGTACAAGTGATGTTAATTTTTTTTCTTTTATTAATGATAGAGACTGTGTGTGCATCCAAGAGAAAGAAAGAGGAGGAGAGAGATGGAAGCACTTTCGATAGGGTCTCATCGCACTGTGATCCTCTTTCTCCAGTCCTCCAGCTTCTCAGGATCCTGGGCATTCACACCTACACCTGGTATGTTTTCTAGCTGATCTAGGGATCTAAATCCGCAGTCAGTGTGTGGATTCCAGATTTACAGGACACTTGAGTTATCTCTGCACCATAGCAATTGGGTCAGTGTTAATTATTTCTAGAAATCTGCTTAAATTTCAGTTTGAAGTGTACTGGCATGACCTTTTTATATAGCATGTTCTTATTTCTTTTCTTTTTTTAAAAAAATTAAAATTTATTATTATCTTTTTAATTTGCTTTAGGCAATGTCTGCTCACCAGAGACAGAGAGAGAGAGGAAAAGTAGAAAGCAGCTGTCAGGTCTAGGACTCGAATCACGGTCGACCATGGAATTCAGTGCCTTAACTATTGTCCCACCCGCTGGCCCCAACATGTTCTTACTATGTGTAACGTCTGCTATGTCTTTTACATCCTGATATTTAACCTCTCTCTTCTGTCTCATTTAATTGATTTTACCAGTAGTATGCTGATATTATTAGTAATTTATAAGAAACCACTTATGACTTTGTTAATCTTATCTGTTATGCTTTCATTATTTTCTATTTAAAACATGTCTTTTACTTTGATTATTTTCATTATTCTACTTTTCTAAATTAAATCTTGGATGATTTATGTCTGGACAGTTTTTGAGAATGCAATATCTCTGTTCTTTTTAAAAAGTTTCCACAGGATGTGTACACTTGCCAGTGAGAGACTGAACTGTAGATAGAGAGAGAGAGAAAGAGAGAAAGGTAGAGGGGGAGACAGGGAGAGAGAGAGAGAGAGAAAGAGAGATAGAGAGAGAGAGACCATACCTCCAATGGGGTATGGTCATGCCAAAAACCCTTTTCCTCCATTTCTCCATCTTGTTGGGGTTTGGGACATGCAGGTATATGCATCTGCATGTTTTTCAAGCCATCAGGGCCAGGATTCAAACCACAGTGACCATGTGGGACCCAGCTCCCTTAACCACTACGCTAGGAGCTGGCCCTCTCTAGTTTTGAAGTTTTCTTATTAACAGCATTTACAGATTTGTATAATATAGATGGTGCCTATAAGACCAATGATAATGTGAAAACAAAACAAAACAAAACAAAACAAAAAACACCTCTAAACTATGTGGCTCTGTCTTTGTTCTTCTGGAGGTCAGCAGGGAGACAGCTATCACTAGCTGCAGAATTGCCGCCCTTTGTTATACAGACAGATACTTCATTATGCTGTTGTCTCACTGAAATGCCTTGGAAAGCAGACCTGCAGTTACCACTTACATAACTCTAATAGAATTGGATGAAAAACTTTAAAATATTGATCTCTGTTAGCTTCTTTTTGTTTGTTTTTAAAGCCTTTCTTGTAATATCGCGATACAGGCTGGTTCAAATGGGTTGCTCTGAAGAGGCTGCCTTGACAGTTGGTAAGACCATGGCCTCAAGTCTTTTCCATGCAGCTCCTACTAAGCGGTTTAAGCCAGATAATGAAAGCAAGCTCCAGGGAAAGACTCAGATTAAGACATTGGTCTCTCACTGCAATAGAAGGAGTGTAAAAAAGATTAGTAATTTAAGACTAATATGTTAAAGTACAAAAAAATTTTTAAATGAGGATTTTGCTTGTTGTTTCCTGTAGAAAGAATGAACAAGAAGCCTACTAGGGTCGGTAGGTGGTGTGGTGGTTAAAGGTGCTGACCACGGTTTGAGTCCCTGAGCCGGTGGCTTGCTATCTCTCTCTCTCTGTGTCTCACTCTAGTCAAATTAACAAGTATATATAATAATAATGATAATAAAATAAAGGAAATAATTCTTAAAAAAGAAGCCTACTACATTTTTTAAGGTCTTGTTTTTCCACATTACATAAGCAAACACAAATCACCTATGAAAATCTGTGATTTTTCTAACCCTTAAGCAAAATCCTACCCCCAAACCTGTAAGAACACCATATGAACTGCACCAATTGTCCTCTAAGGATATGCTTTTTAATTTTTTGATTATAAAGAATAAGGACAACAAATCTCCCAAAGGACAAAATCAGGTGTCACAATGACAATGTCCAGAGAGCATTATAATAAGCTGACATATGGGTAACCAAGGAACTTAATTCAGTGACAAACGAAGGTTATTCTCCACCTTTGCCCAATAAGATTGGACAGTTGCTATGGATTGGTGATATTTTAAGGTCCCATGCTTTCATCTGAAAAGGAATTTTCAATGCAGTTGTGTTATTGTCTTCCACCAGCTTATATTGCTGTAGGAAAGTGATGAAATAAAATGTTTCCTTTTATGTTTTTATATACAGAACAGGATGAGCCACAGCAAGAGAGCTGCACATCAATTTTCAGATGGTCTCCCTTGAGTCCAGCCCAAAAAGCATGGTCACACTGCAATCCCTTCTCCTCCATCTCTCCCTCCTTTCAGGATGTATGCACATAAGTACACATGCTCAGACTGTTTCTCAAGCCAGATGGTCAGGACTCGAACTGCACAGTCGTCCATGTTGGATCCAGCTGCCTTAATCACCACACCACCGGCTGTCCTGCACTCTTCTTTCTCTTTTCCATTACCTTTTCCCTCTGGTTGCTGAGGTGGATGACTTAGCAGGAGCTGAAGAGGCTATCCAATATTGACAGATACGCAATAAGGACCACTTAGCAAAGGAAATAAGTGTTCTTGGTCCCTGATATTGTAAAGCCACTATATCAGCCCTCGACCACTTATTTTTGGACTAATACATAAGATAGAAACTAGTATTTTGGTCTTCATTCCTATCGATAGAATACAAATTTAAATCCTCACTAGTAAAATGCTAGTAACAGTAATTGTGATGTCCGTGTGCATGTAACTGAAAAGTTTTCTATTCTTTCCACATAGTCAGAGTCTTATTATTTGAACTTTGAAGAACACTTGAAGCTATTAATAAAGATCAGATCAGCTCTGCTCCTTTTGTATTTGTAATAGATACAATGTCAAAAACAACCAAAAAAAAAAAAAACAAAATAAACAAACCCGAAAACTAAAACCAAACAAAACTAATTCTGAGACTACTCCTTGGAGTAGCTGATCCATTCACTGCTTTATTTCCCCAGCATTACATTTCCTAACACTTTTGAGGCTCTGTTTCAATGGTTATTTTAGTTATTGTTTTCTGCCTTATCTCCCTACATGTAGTGAAATCTCTCACTCTTCAGGGTACTGAATATGATAAATCACATTGCACTCAAGATATCTGGGAACTAAATCACTGGTATTTAAGAGAATAAATTTCATATCAAAACCCTTCCTCATCTACCGCCAATCTTATTGCCTTCCTCAGTCTATGTCTAGTTGGAAATAATATCACTTTGGTGCTCAGATTGTAGAGGAGATAGAAATACATACTTTGTGATAGTCGATAAAAGTAAATGTTATCAGGAAAATGAGAAAGTGT